AATAACTCTATTACAAAGATTTTACAACTCGACTAACTCTAGCCAAGACACAAACATAAGAGTTTATGATTTACAAAGGGTTTCCTACACAATGCTTCTAAGTAAGCTAAGTAGGAATTACAAGTAAGAACTTTTACAAAGGTGCAACTCAATTAAGGACATATAATAACTTAATATGGGGAACTGGTCCGTAGCAGTGTTGTTCTTTGTTTTTGATGCACTTGAAAATCGTTTTCAGGATGATCAATCACTGTGGGAGTGCTTGAGTGAATTCTCTAAGTGTTCAAGTAATGTTTTGTCTTTGGTTTAATATTAATATAACATTGATGATATCACTTGAATGGTGTAAGCAACTTGGGTGCAAGATCCTTCCCAATTGAGTTAACTACTGCACTGTATTGTATTGTTGTGTGTGCAGGCAGCCACTTTCTAACTGTTGGAGGGTTGACTGGTCCATCGGTTCCCCTTGTTGATTATTTAGCTTCTTAAAGACTGATGAACCTCTCAAGCTTAAGTCTGGTTATTTTCACATACTTGAGAATGTGTATCAGGTTTCTTATTATTGACATTAAGTTTGTTAGATCATCAAAACATAAAATAAGGTACTTATAACCTATCAATTTTTCTCATTTTGATGATGACAAACTTATAATTGAAATACCCACGAAGAACCATAATGAACCAGAAATGGCAATGCTTAACCTTGAATTCCCCCTGAGTCTTTGTTCCCCCTCAATCAATGCACATCATTTATTCAATTATGCATATTCTTCCCCCTTTTGGTATCATAAAAAGAAGAAAACCAAGTAAAAGCAAAAAGAAGTCCAACGTGGTTAACTCATGCCACATGTATGCACACAAACATGATAGAAGACAGAAACATAAGAGCAATGTATACATAGCAAAAAGGGAAAAGCTTTTATTAAACAGTTTGGATTTTACGACAGGAGCAGTTTCAATGTTGCCAGCAACCATCCACAATTCAAAACAAAAAAAAAAGTACCAACCACAAAACATCATCAGAAAAGTCATAAAAAAACAAAGAACGGACACTTAAAACTTGACACTGGAGGGGACATTATTTAGGGAGCACCGGAGGAAGAGGGCTTAGAGGAGTGGGCAAGGGTTTTGAGGACTAGATCCATTCGAGCATTCGCCGACATTTTCTCATTGAGCAGTCTTTCTTTCAGGTCCTCCACTTGTTTCTTGAGCTCAGCATTCTCCTTAGTCAGGCGGGCAACCTCTGAGCTTTGAGAACTACTGGAACCAGGTGCCTCCTGAAGCTGACTGAGCTGACCCTTAAGAATAGCATTCCTTGCTTTTAACTTCCTGATCTCCTCCGTAGCACTGTTCTGAGCGTTGATCAACTGAAAAATGGTAGAAGTGCTTCCAACTCCTCCAACCTTATCAATGCACTCACATTCTTCGAGAGTGGTCTTGGAGAAAGTCTGCTTCCTAGTGCCCACTTTAGCTTGTCCCAGAGGGACCTTAAAGAACTCAAAAACCTTGGTGAGAAGGAACCCATAAGGCAGTCGATGGTTACCATCTTTGAGCTCTGCCACTTTTTGCATGTGTTCAATCATAATCCCATGCAAGTTAATGGTAGTGAAGCCATCCAGCGCTTCCATAAGAACCAGGTCGGCTCTGGAGGTAATGGATCTTCTCTCAGCACAGGGAAGCAACACTTTGTTCACCATCTCAAACAACAATTGGTACACTAGAAGGAGGGCCTTCTTGTGGACTCGTTCCCCCTGCTGGATTGCCTTGTCCTTAACAATAGCATTTATGAAGTTGGAAGAGCAGGATCCTTGGATTGATGACAACCCTTCAGCAAGCACACCCAGAATCGACCCCAACAAAGCAGAGTCCATCACAATGTCAACCCCATTCACCAGTACACAGATGTGATCATCCTCAACTTTGAAGAAGTCGGCATAGAAGCTCCATACTTCCTCATCATACACTTTTGGAGCATCACTTGTAAACAAGTGTGTCCATTGTTGGAATTCACATATTTCAACCAATTGTCGCATCCCTTCCAGCACCAAAATGTCAAGGGCAAATGTGCGGCCCTATAGTACCTTCTGATTCCTCAATTTTTCTTTTCCAGCACTCTGGGATTCATCAACTTTTGCCTTTTTGGAGGAACCAGATCCTCTTCGACATCAACTTTCCTTTTTACAGACTTGCGAGCAGTTTTTCCCTTCTCAACGGACTTTGCAGACACTGTTTTCTCAGACACAGTTTCACCAGAATCTTCCATCACCTTGTGACCAGATTTTTCACCACCTTCTTCCACCAAATTTTCACTAGAGATAACATCATCACTCTTGTTTGGACTCTCAATACTCACAAAAGATTTCTTTTTAGACTTGGAGAGAGAGTTCTTCTGTGAGTGCTTGTGAGTCAAGGAACCAGGTTTCTCGTCCACTTCATCATCCACAGTGACAACATGCACTACCTTCTCATGCACAACCTTCCCATCATTCACCAATTTCCTCCTCTTTTGACTGACTTGACTTTCCTTAAGAGCGGACTCAAGAGCCTCCTTTTTTTGCAACCTTGTGGTAGGTCGCTTAGGAGTTGGCTCTAGAGTAGCAACTGGTCTACGCCTAGCCCGGATAAAGCTAGCAATAGCTATATCATCAAAATCCTCTTCACTATCCCCATTATCTTCACCAGATACAGATCTTATCTCAAGCATCACCACAGACAGAGGCTCAACATAAAAATGAGGAGAAGGAGCAGGGTCAATACTGACCTGGGACTCTTGAGAGGACCCCTGAGTTGGAGCCTCCGAGGAGGGATAAGGTCCTTCATTAAGTACCCCAGTAGTATTGTCATGTGTTGACTGTTCAACAGGCACAAGCTCCCTACTTTCTACCAAGGTCTTAGACTCTTCCCCCTGAGGCTTAGACCCATCATCACCTCCTTTGTTAATAACTCATTCAACCGCTATAGATAGCATATTTTCTATTGTATTTTTCTCTTGTAACTCCATGAAAAACGCAGGAGAAGGAGGAGTGTTACCTGTGGACTCAAGAATAGGAACTGCCTTTGTTGATTCAGCATTCTCAGGACCAACAGTTTAGTCTGCATTTAAGCCTTCTTCCATAGGAAGACTGGAGATTTCCTGATTTTCCTCTTCGTTAACAGTACCCTTTTCACCCAATTTTTTCGGCGAGGCAGGAGGAGAGCTCGTAGCCACAAACCTTTAGGAGTCGAGGCTTTGTGGCTCCGATGAGAACCAGAACTCGATTGGGTAGGGGAGGAGAGTGAGTGTGGTGGTGACTCTGTCCTATGGTTTTGGTTAGTTGTGGTGTTGAGTGAGGAGTCTAACATTGGTGTTTTAACTGATGATGTGGCACTATTTTATCCTTTCAAAATTGTGCATGAGAGAACAAAGAAACTACTAATATGTGTCAGGAGGACCAGGTTCCCTAACGGATCTTGCAAGTGCTCTTTACCCTTTTTACCAGCATGCACTGCATCAACTGCTCTGTAATCATCATGCGTGTCTACCTGTAACGGTATAGAGATGAGTTAGACTTTGCCAGAAAATATTGTTTAGCTAATTTTACCTGTACATTTCTTTCGTAGTCAATTATTGAGGGACCAGATTCTCAGTTGGGTTTTATCAACCCCAGTGCCAGGCGATTTCTTTCAAAATATTCTCTGCTCAAGGCTTTGGTGAATATTTCTGCAATCTAATCTTCTGTGCTGCAGAATTTCATACAAATGAGCCCATTTTCAACATTGTCTCTGAGGAAGTGGTGACGCACATCAATGTGTTTGGTTCTCTTATGTTAGACTGGATTCTTGTACATGTTGAGTGCACTTGTATTGTCGCACAGGAGAGGCACACAGTCAGAGAACACTCCAAAGTCTTCCAACTGATGTTTGATCCACAGCAATTGAGCACAGCAAGAGGCATCTGCTACATATTCCGCTTCTGCAGTTGAGAGTGCCACCGAGTTTTGCTTCCTTGTACCCCATGAGATTAGACAGGAACCCAGAAAATGTGCCATTCTAGACGTGCTTTTCCTGTCCACCAGATATCCTGCATAATCAACATCATCATACCCAATAAGATCAAAGTTATCTCCTGAGGGATAGTAGAGAACCAAGTCTCGCGTTCCTTTGAGATATCTTAATATTCTTTTGGAAGCCTTCAGATGAGATTCCTTTGGATTAGATTGAAACCTTGCACAAAGGCCCACGCTGAATACAATGTCCGGTCTGCTTGCAGTGAGATACAAGAGTGACCCTATAATGCCTCTATACATGGTCTGATTTACAAGGGAATCAGGTTCATCCATGTCTAGACGAGTGGTTGTGGCAATAGGAGTGTCAATAACTTTTTATACTTCCATGTCGAATCTTTTCAGCAGTTATTTGATGTACTTCTGCTGACTTATCAGTGTTCTCTTTTGATATTGCTTCACCTGAAGTCCCAGGAAGAAATTTAATTCTCCCATCATGCTCGTGATTCTCAAATCCATGTGACTGCTTGACATAAACTTCTTCTTTTAGGAAGCCATTCGGAAATACACTTTTGACATTCATTTGGAACAATGTGAACTCCATATGAGATGCAAAGGCAATAAAAATTCTGATAGCTTCCATTCGAGCAACTGGAGCAAAAGTTTCATCATAGTCAATCCATTCTTCATGATTGTAGCCTTGAATTACAAGCCTTGCCTTGTTTCTTGTTGTACTTCCAAACTCATCGAGTTTGTTCCTGAATACCCACCTGGTTATAATAGTTTGATCTGCAGGTTGAGGAACCAGGTTCCATACCTTGTTCCTTTCAAATTTATGCAGCTCCTCTTGCATGGTTGTGATCCAGTCTGCATCTTTCAATGCTTCTTTGATATTTTGGGCTCTATTTGAGAAAGAAAGGCTGCGAAGGCAAGTGAGTTTCTAGCTTTTGACCTGGTTTGAATTCCTGAGTCAAAAGGAGTGATTATGTTGTCAAGAGGGTGTGAACTTTTGTGCTTCTAATTTGGTACCTGAACCTCATTGGTAGAAGACCCAAGTATGTCTGACTGATGTTCTTGATTGCTTCTTATTTCTACAAGTGGAGTACCTTGGACTGCATCGACATCTATGTTTTCAGCTTCAATTGTTGTGTTTGTGGGACCAGGTTCTTCTCCAATGGATGGAGATGTAGTTGCATCATCTTTACTGGATTCCTTGACATGACTCATCATGTCTGCCTTCCATTTGCCATGTCAATGACTTCACCTGGAACCTATAAAGGTTCTCCATCTTGATCATCATGTTTGTCCTTCTCACATGAGATGTGAGATTCATCAAAGATCACATGTATACTCTCCTCAACACATTGAGTTCTTTTGTTGTATACTTTGTAAGCTTTGCTTTGGGTCGAGTATCCCAGAAAGATTCCTTCATCACTTTTGGCATCAAATTTTCCAAGCGCTTCCTTGCCATTGTTGAGAACAAAACATTTGCAGCCAAATGTCCTCAAATGCGTTAGCTTGGGCATTCTTCCATTCAGCAACTCATCAGGTGTTTTGTTTAGAAGGGACCTGATCATGCACATGTTTATCAAGTAGCATGCGGTGTTGACTGCTTCTGCCCAGAATGTTTTTGCAATTCCACTGTCAATTAGCATTGTTCTTGCCATATCTTTAAGAGTCATGTTCTTCCTCTCTACAACACTATTTTGTTGTGGTGTTCTTGGAGTTGAGAAATTATGAGTAGTGCCATTTTCGACACAGAATTCATCGAATTTGGCATTATCAAATTCTTTCCCATGGTCAGATCTGATGCAAGCTACATTACCTTCCATCTTCACTTGGATCTTCTTGACAAAAGCAACAAATACTTGGAAGGTTTCATCATTGGTTCTGAGAAACATGGTCCAAGTGAATCTGGAGTAGTCGTCCACTATCACAAAGATATATCTTTTTCCTCCTCTGCTTGGCACCCTCATAGGTCCACATAGATCCATATGAAGAAGATCAAGTGGCCTTGAGGTACTAACTTCCTTTTTGGGCTTGAAAGAGGATCTGCCATGCTTTCCTTTTGCACACGCATCACACACCTTGTATTCCTTGAAGCTTGACTTGGGCAGACCACGAATCAGGTCCTTCTGGACTAGTTTGTTCAATAGTGAAAAGCTTGCATGCCCCAGCCTTCTGTGCCATAATTCGGTATCATCATCAACAACTCTTAGACAACTGAGATCACCACTCTGCAGGGACTCAAAATCAGCAATATAGATGTTCTTGTATCTCTTGGCCATTAACACCACTTCACCAGTCACAAGATTTGTGACTGTGCATATTTTTGAAACAAATTCCACCTTGTTTCCCTTGTCGTATATCTGAGAGACACTCAACAGGCTGTGCTTCAGACCATTGACATAGTACACATTTTCAATGGAGTGAGAGAGTGACTTGCCAATCCTTCCAACTCCCAGAATGTATCCCTTTTTTCCATTTCCAAAGGCTACACTCTCTCCTTGCAGGGCCTTCAGTGAAAGAAAATCGTTTGTACTTCCAGTCATGTTCTTTGAGCAGTCACTATCCATATACCATTGTTGGCTGCTCCCCTTCACTGCTCTCTGCACAAGGAAATCAAGGGTTAGATTTAGGAACCCAAACAAGTTTGGGTCCTTTGTAATGAGGAAAGGGATGAATGAGAGTTCTTTTGGTACAAGAAGGCATTATGCGTCTTTTATATGATGGTCCAGGTTCTCTATCAGTAGTTACCTTCTTAGCAAACACTTTGTTTTTCTGTTGAGACTGAAACTTAGCCTTACAGGTTTCCTTAAAGTGCCCAGTTTTACCACATTGAGTGCAGAGCTAATTTTCAGGTACAGTAACGTACTTGCTATGAGGGTTGTAGGGAGTTTTTCCTTTTGGAATACGATTCCCTGCTTGTTTCCCCCATTGTTTGTGTACATGGAAGTGATAACATCAGAGGACCAGGTCCACTTGAGTGATTTTTCAAGATCACTCTTGACTCTACCTAGTTCTTCCTGAAGTTGTTTGTTATTCTCAAGTTCAGCACACAGACTAGATTTCACCGATTTTATCTCATCTTCAAGCCTAAGATGTATTTCATCCACAACTTCCTTTCCCTTTTGAAGAATCTCATGCCTACCTTCTCCTTTTAGTTCCTCAATTGTATCCTTCAGATCTACAACTACTACTAATAAATCATCTCTCTCATGCTCTATGCTAGCAACTCTTTTGATCAAGACATCTTTTTCTTTTTCAAGACTCTCAATAGTTTCCTTCAAATCAACCACCACTACTACTAGATCATCTCTCTCAAGTTCTAAGTTAGCAACTTTTTCAGTTAGGGCATCTTTTTCTTCTTTCAAACTCTCAATAGTTTCTTTCAAATCTACCACAACGACTACTAGGCCATCTCTAGATTGTTCTGCTTCTCCTAATTCCACAATCAGAGCATTTTATCATTTATAAGACTGTGGTATGCATCTATTAACACATTTTCCAAAGACATGAGTTTTTTAGGAGAATAAGATTTCAGATTTCTCTGAACATCTAGAAAATTTACCTCATCGTCGTCGTCGTCATCTTCATCATCATCAGATTGAGCCATCAAGGAAAAAATAAAGTCATAGCAGTTGCTTCACTTTCTACTGCCATCATTGAGCTATCACCATGATCATTATCTTCTTCAGATTCACTGGAGGAGTCTCCCCATGCAGCAAGAGCTTGCTTCACAACACTGTCAGCGACATTCTTTCTCTTGAAGCGTTTATCAGGAACAGGGTTCCTCTTGGCTGCTTTGTCTGTGTTGTGCTTGAATTGATCTTGCTTTAGGAGGGGACAGTCCTTGATGAAGTGTCCTGGCTTGCCACATTTATGACATAGGTCATAATATTTTGTCTTGCTAGAACTGTCCCTTTTTGGAATGCCTCCATTTCTGCAAACCATTTTCTGAAATCTTCTTGTCAAGTAAGCCATATCACCATCCTCACCACTTGAATCATTGTTGTCTGTCTTGAGGACCAGGTTCTTCTCTCTTTTGGGCTATCTTCTTTCATTGTCCTTATTTTTCTTTATTTCATACGTTTTCAGATTGCTAATAAGTTCATCAATGGTCTGCTTCTGCAAGTCCTTTGCCTCTGTGATAGCGTTCACTTTGCTTTCCCAGGAACTGGGCAGTACACTAAGTATTTTCCTGACAAGTTTGTTTCTTGGAATAATTTCTCCAAGAGAGTGAAGCTCATTGATGATAGATGTGAAATGAGTATGCATGTCTTGGATGGATTCATCTTCCTTCATCCTGAAGAGCTCGTATTCAGTTGTGAGCATGTCGATTTTGGATTGCTTGACCTGTGTTGTTCCTTCATGAGCTATCTGGAGAGCTTCCCAGATTTCTTTGGCTGACTGGCATGCCGATATCTTGTTGTATTCATCAGGATCAATACCACAAACGAGAATTTTCTTTGCACGAAAATTCTTTTCTATGGCTTTTCGGTTGGCGTCATTGAAATCTTTTCTTGTTTTGGGAATGTTTACAACAGGGTCGCCACTGGTTTTTGTGGGAACGAAGGGTCCATCACAGATGACGTCCCAGAGCTCGAAAGCTTCAGCCATGATGAAGTCGTGCATCCTGGTCTTCCACCATCCATAATACTGGCCATTGAACCTTGGTGGCTTGTAGGTAGACTAACTTTCTTCAAAGTTTGGTTGAGCAGCCATGAGGATCCTTTCTAGGTGTTAGCCTGATAGAAAGAACCCGCTCTGATACTAATTGATAGAATTCGAGGGTCCAGCAAACTATATAGAGAACCGGGTTCTCTATTTGTTTCCTCAGATTACGCACACACAACAGTAAGTAAATGACACTGAGAGTTTTTACATGAAAAATTCCCAGCTCACGGGATTAAAAACCACGACCTACCCTTGAAGGATTTCAAATTCACTACTAATCAAACTTTTAGATTACAACCTATTGTAACCTAGAAATTAACCTCTTAATCCCTCACTAACTTGTAACAACTCTATTACAAGCCACTTTGTAATAACTATATTACAAAGACTTTACAACTTGACTAACTCTAGCCAAGACACAAACACAAGGGTTTATGATTTACAAAGGGTTTCCTACACAATGCTTCTAAGTAAGCTAAGTAGGAATTACAAGTAAGAACTTTTATAAAGGTACAACTCAACTAAGGACATATAATAACTTAATATGGAGAACTGGTCCATAGCAGTATTGTTCTTTATTCTTGATGCACTTTAGAATCGTTTTCAAGATGATCAATCACCGTGGGAGTGCTTGAATGAATTCACTAAGTGTTCAAGTAATGTTTTGTCTTTGGTTTAATGTTAATATAACATTGATGACATCACTTGAATGATGTAAATAACTTGGGTACAAGATCCTTCCCAATGGAGTTGACTGCTACACTATGTTGTACTGTTGCATGTGCAGGCAATCACTTTTCAGCTGTTGGAGGGTTGACTGGTACGATTACCAGAGGAACTGATGTCCATCGGTTCCCCTTGTTGATTTTTCAGCTTCTTAAAGACTGACGAACCTCTCAAGCTTAAGTCTGGTTATTTCCACATGCTTGAGAATGTGTATCAGGTTCCTTATCTGGTTCTTGACATTAAGTTTGTTAGATCATCAAAATGTAAAACAAGGTGCTTATAACCTATCATAACTAATTCATAGCTACCCACTTTTTCCTCATTAAACTCACGCGGCTTTGCCCTTCTCTATAAACAGAAGAAAACCTTCGCCAAAGTTGTTGTGCTAATATTTGTATAAATATTTTTAAGATTTGTTTCGCTTATTTTGTATGAATTTTCTTCAGATTTGTTTTGCTTGTTTTGTATGAATTTCCTTTAGAGTTGTTGGTATTTTTGATAGTTTTTAAATGGGTATAATTCTAATTTCATATTTTTCCAAAAAAAAGTAAAATATATTTTGAAAAATTATGTCCAAATAAATTTCCATCTTCAAACTAAATTTCACCTAAATCAGATTTCTCAAAATAAATTTGGGAATTTATGACCAAACATTAGCTAAAGCAGTAACTTGACCAAAAGGAGAAAAAGGAAGGGTTGTATAATACTCCTTCTAATTAAATTATGTGACGTAGGTATTATTTAGAGAGTCAAAAAAGTTACTATAATTTCTTATATATTTTTAATTATTACTATAACTTATATTAATTTTCATGTAATTTTTAAATATATAATTTTAAAAAATAATTAAAAATACTATGTTAGTGTGTAACTGTGTACCAAATACATATCGAGATTAAATAATTTGACCCTAATAATTCTAGTAGTGTGGCATAAAATGGAATGAAGACGCAGTAAATAACGATTAAACGAATATGAAAAAGAAAAGGGGAAAAATGAATGAAGTGTTATAAAATAAAAGCAACTTAGTAAAACATGAGCAAGACATGTTGTTATGAAATAAAAGTAATTTAGTAAAACATGAACAAGAAATGGAGATAGAGAGAAGGAAGAGATTTTCTTCTTCAATTGTGTGTATTTTCCTATCTATTACAAGGCCTTTATATAGGCATGAAAAGTGAAGAAAAATATGTCACTGAATATATCATTAAGCATAGAAATATGTCATTGAATATGTCATTAAGCATTTGAGAAGATCATGCAGGAAGAGTAGACATCTACAATAATTTGATTTTTCTTATAACACTCCCCCTTGGATGTCCATAGATAATGTGCCTCGTTAAAACCTTATTAGGAAAAAACCCTATGGGAAAAAAAATTTTAGTGAAGGAAAAAGAGTACACATGTTTAGAAATACGCCTTTTGGTTGCCTCGTTAAAAACCTTGCAAGAAAAACCCAGTGGGATAAAACCTTGTAAGGAAAAAAAAGTACAACGTGTATTAACTCCCCCTGATTAGAGCATCAATTCATATCCTTGAGCCTTCGCATCCCAATCTTGTACACTAGTTTCTTGAAGGTTGACGTCGGTAGAGATTTGGTGAACAAATCAGCCATATTATCACTTGAACGGATCTGTTGCACATTGATATCACCATTCTTTTGAAGATCATGTGTGAAAAATAACTTTGGTGAAATGTGTTTTGTCCTATCCCCTTTTATGAATCCTCCCTTCAACTGGGCTATGCATGATGCATTGTCTTCATAAAAAATTATGGGTAGTTTGTTACATATCAAACCATATTTGTCTCGAATAAAGTGTATTATAGACCTCAAGCATACACATTCTCGACTTGATTCATGAATAGCAATTATCTCAGCATGATTAGATGAAGTAGCCACGATTGATTGCTTAGTCGATCGCCAAGATATGGCAATGCCTCCATACGTAAACACATAGCCTGTTTGAGATCGAACCTTTTGTGGGTCATATAAATACCAGCATCGGCATAACCAACAAGATCAGGATTGCAATCATTGCCATAAAATAATCTCATATTGGTAGTCCCTTTTAGATACCGCAATATGTGTTTGATTCCATTCCAATGTCTCCTTGTAGGAGCAGAGCTATATCTTGTTAAGACATTAACTGAAAAAGTTATGTCAGACCTTGTAATGTTAGAAAGATACATTAGTCTACCAATTGCACTAAGATATGGTACGTCGGGACCAAAAAGCTCATCATTATTTTTATGAGGTCGGAATGGATGTGCTTTATCCATATAAAATCGCTTTAAAATCATTTTAGTGTATGTTGATTGATGGACAAAAATTCCATCTTTCATATACTCAATTTGTAGACTAAGACAAAATTTTGTCTTTCCAAGATCTTTCATTTTAAATTCTTTCTTTAAATAGTCTATTACTTTAGGAAGCTCTACTACTTTAGGAAGATCCCTAAGAGTTCTAATAATATTTAAATCATCAACATACGCGGTGATTATAACAAATTTAGATCCAGATCTTTTTATAAAGACATAAGGACAAATTGAATCATTCTTGTACCCTTCTTTCAACAGGTACTCACTCAGGCGATTATACCATATACGCCTTGATTGTTTCAATTCGTATAAGGATTTTTGAAGCTTTATTTAATAAATTTCTTGGAAACATTAATATGCTTCAGAACAATTTAAATCCTTCAATGATTTCCATTATACGCATATCACGTTTCTCTTGTATTGCCAGATTAAAACCTGAAATGGCGACATCCACCACAGGAGAACATGTCTCTATATAATCAATGCCATGATATTTACAAATCTTCTTGTGACACAAGTCGTCTTTATGTCTATCGACTTGACCTTTTTTTTCCCGCACAAGAACATATTTATACCTCCACTGGCTTTATACTTTCAGGTGTTGGGACTATCCGTCCAACTTCATATTTTTCATGTGAAATCAATTTTCATTGCGTATTTTTTATTTGGCCAATCATTTATCTATCCAAATTTCATGACAGATTTGAGCTCAATATCCTCGTCAATATAAATAATATTGAGCGCTACATTATATTAACAATATCGTCAACGATCATTTTATATCGGTTCTATTATTACCCAATAAAGACATAACTTATTGAGATCTCTTTATCTTATTATTTTCAGGTACCTGAGCCTCTCCCATAAGGTCTTATGAAGTGTTATGTCGTGGTGCTCTTCTAGAGCACTTGCCTCCTTATTATGACCATCTTGAACATTTGCTCCTCTCCTTCTTCAAGGAGTTTTATCTTTGGAACCGATCAGTCTATTATGCTTTATGCATGCCATGGACTCTATTCATTATGAACTCATATTTTATTTGGAGCATTAGCAGCTGAATATGACATTTAGCTTTGGGTCAGCAAATATGCCTGACAATATTTTGCAAATGAATTATCACTTGAACTTCAAGTTCACATTTTCTCGTACGAAGATCTCGATGTACTCATAATAATTCATTACATGCATTACTTTTTCAGCTGTTCATTTTCTCCCCCGATTGTTGGGATCACCAACACATATCCCTAGCCTTATTTGGGGATCCATCTTTGTGCATTGTGGTGGAACAATTAAATCATATAACATATTCATATTTCTAGATGGAAATTATTTTGTTCCTGACCCTGAACCGATTGTGATAGGGAGAACTTATCATAACTTGGCTAGATTCGTACAAGTGCTGTTGCATATTAAATAATACATCACATACCAAATTTTATTTTGGCAATTTTGTTCTCATAACCAATGGTTTAGATATAATTGGAGGCATACAATTTCTGCTAAACCAACTTGGATTTAAACCAGTATTATCAAGATAAATCATCATAATTTATATTCTGGAACTGTGCTCTAATAATTTGAGCAATCAATCTTGCAAAAGCCAAACTGCAAGTTGATAACAAATGCACATGTGACCATAGAATAGATGCATCTATTAAAATCATATAATAGTAAACGGTCCACATGGAAGGTGACTGGGCCCATATATTTATCACCTTTTATTCGTTCCAGAAATCAAAGGATTCAATCCCAACCTTAACTGGTATATCATGAGAATAAGCAGCACAAGAGAATTCTTGAAGAATCTTATATTTCTTCAATATATGCCAATGTAATTCTCAATTAATTTTTTCGCATCATAATTGAACCGAGATGGTCAACCGGTCATGCCAACTAAT